GGGAAGAATTTAAGAATGAGCTAATGAGGCAATTCTATCCTGAAAATGTGGCACATGAAGCACGACTAAAGATGAGGGAGTTGAAGCACACCCGCTCTATCCGGGACTATGTCTAAGAATTCTCTGGGTTAATGCTTCAAATTCCTAGTATGAGTGATGATGACTTGCTCTTCAACTTCACAGTTGGTCATAAGCAGTGGACACAGTTGGAGCTACAACGAAGGGGTGTCAAAGACATTTCCACTGCACTCACCGTGGCTGAAACATTGGTGGAATATACAAAGCCAGAATCTTCTAACTTGGAGTCCACCAAGGATGGTCACGGCAACAGTGGGGGAGCAAAATGGGCCAAAGAGTCTAGGGATTCTAAGGCTCTAAGGTACAAAGAAGGTGGAGGCAAGCCACCATCAGGCAAAGATTGGAAGAAAGATGCCAACAAAGACATCAAGCCTAAGGACAACTGCTTCATTTGCGATGGGCCACATTGGACGCGGGATTGTCCTAAGAGAAAGAGCCTTAGTGCAATGCTGGAAAGACAAGAAAGGGAAGAGCAAGCACAGATGGGATCTCTACAACTACTTGGTGCCATAGAATCGAAGCCTACTACATTAACCCAATGGGATAAGGGTTTAATGTACGTAGATGCCAAGATCAATGGGAAGGCGACCCAAGTCATGGTAGACACAGGCGCGTCGCACAACTTCATCAAGGCAGAGAAGGCCAAGCGGCTTGGTCTAAAACTTGACAAGGGACAAAGACTAATGAAGATAGTAAACACCAAGGCAAAGCCCATGGATGGCCTGGCTCAAGGTGTTGAGTTGCACCTTGGTGGATGGTGCGGAAAAGTTGATTTTTCAATAGCATCGCTTGATGACTATGATGTGGTTCTAGGAATGGAGTTCTTGCGAGAGTTCAACGTGGCACTGTTACCTCGCAACAACACTATGTGCATTATAGAGGATGGGCCTTACATGGTGCCAATGGTGAGTAAGGTAAATACTAAACTCCAACTTCTATCAGCTATGTATATTAAGTTGGGGACGGACAAGAAAGAGGTAGTATTAGTAAGCACTACCAAGAGGATGGAGCAAGGCGCCAAGCCACTAGCAAAGGCACCATATGAAGCACCGGTATTGTGTCAGAAGAAGCACAATGGATCAATGCGGCCATGCACCAACTACTAGGCTCCAAACAAGAATGGCGCAGCAGAAGCGTGGTTAGCAAATAAAAATACGCACCACCAAGTGTTTAAAGTTGAAAACTTGGTAAAGAGAAACGGACTACCAGAAAGCGAGGCTGATGCTTTTGGAAGTTCCAAGAGCAAACACAAAGATTTCGCAAGGAAGGCGCGACGAGGGCGTCGCTGCATTAGGTGGGGGAGAATGTCATGAACTGATAAATTTTGATGCTGCCTCTCACAAGAAAGCACTAGCAGGCTGTGGAGATTGCTAGAAGCCTCCAGAACTCCTTAGAGAATGGCTACAAGAGGAGAGGCTAAAATAGAATTCTCTAGAACAATCAAGAGCATGGAAGAACTTGTACATTAGTCTAGAAGCTTGTACATAATTCTTGTATATTCTAGAATAGGTTCTTTGAGAAGATGAGGGAAGGATCTAGAATCCTCTCCATCCATGTAGAACTAGAATACTTCTAGAATAGTCCATAAGATAAAGGTGGAGGAAGTGTCTAGAACACTCTCCATCATACTAGGTCTAGAACATTCTTTGTAAGCCTATAAAAGAGGGAGGGCCTCATTTGCCTAAACCACCCAAGTGGACCAAGTGTAATCCAAAGCATTCAAGCAATACAAGCAAAGCATTCTCTAAGAGCTCTCTCTAAGTTTCTCTAAGTCTCTCTTGTGTGTGCAATCTTCTCTTAGCTCTCTTCCAAAGAAGGCTTACTTAGGTGCAAGTAAGGTGTGCATAAGCATCTAAGGCCGCATGGTTGGCTTGGAAAAACCAAGGTCGTGACACAAGGCATGCCATAGATCAGAAACTGTGTCACAATAGAGAAACATGTGATAAATATGATCTTCTATGGAGTTGAACATCCATCCCAAAATAGTACAGTTATCAATATCTCACTGTGCACGGGTAGGATATGTTGCAGCAGGCTGGTTAGTGGAAGATAAAAGCTAATGAGCTTTTCCCTTGCCCCCTAAATAGAGTTTAAGGGAGCGGCTCCAGGTGGCAAAATTTTTCCCCTTGAACACCACACTCGTAATACGATGAACAGTAGTGTGATGATAGAGAAAAATTAGAACTAATTGAGACAGGCTTGGTGGGTATATCAGCAAAGAATGGATCAGTCATGGTTGGAGAAGAGGGGCTGAAAAACACACAAAGATAGCAACACAGTCTAAGAAAAAAATAAGAAGTCGGAAAAAACTCAACGGCTTATCCAAATAGATGCTACCGAATAAACCCGGTAGCCCAAAAGAATAAAAGGACAGAAAAAGGGGCTTAATACATCAGTCTAATCACCCCAAGGGGATAAAAATAGCCACGGACCACCTACAGAGGCAGCCGAAGCACATAAGACCAGAACCAAGTCTGGTCGACAGCAACCAGAGCCTTGGCAGGGATAAAGAAGGCCTATCGAGGTGAAGACAAGGAAGGAGAGGGGTTGTGGAGGCTAGGTTGGGGTTGGGTTGAGGCTGTCGGAGGGAGAAAAGGAGTTAGAAAGGGCTGTCAAAGGCTAGGTGAAGGCTGGGAAGGGTTGTCAAAGGGAGAAAAAGAGCTGAAAAGGGCTGTCGGAGGCTAGAGAGAAGAAAGAAGGCAGTCGGTGGTGCTGGGTGGTTAAGAGAGAGATGGCTAGGGAGGCTCCGATATTAAAAAGAATGGAAAGAATTATTTGGTTTACCAATCAATGAGGTTGAAGCCATGTATATAATATATTCATGATACAATTTAGGAAACAATATGCACAAGGTAAGATTCCTACAATCAAAATAATTCCTATTCTAATTTACATATTCAAACATAATATTTTGATTTCTATATTCAACATGTATATGTTTGGGCATGCATTCATAATAACATTTACTTGTGCATACTACTATGAATGTCCCTTTCTTCTGTGTGATACTGTGAGATGAATCACATTACATGATTTTATGGTGAGTACGTTTGCTTGGTGTTGCAAACGTATTTGGATATTACATGAGTTGTAAGCTAGTCTCCAGTTGGATTTTGGTTTGAGTGAAGAATGTGACCATTGAAAGAATTGGACAAGTGTGAACTAAATTGTGGACTAGGTAGGGATCCTAGTGGATGGGATTAGATTGTTAACTAGAATGGATTTACAATAGAACATGATAGGTTGATGGGTTTATTCATGTATCTCATTCACTTAGTTGTACCTGTACACTTGCACATATACCATAATAGCATGTTGGGTTGTGGAAGATTTTTTTTACTGGGAGTGTTAAGCTCACCCCTTCTTTTTTGAGAAAGGAGCAGAGGGGACCATGTTGAGCTATGTAGGGAACTTGAAGAATCGCTCTTGTATTTTATTTTAGGTTTCTTTGTTGTGATTTTTAGTAGCGGACTCTTACAATTGTAATTCTCTCTGGACTTGTTGGTTATTTACTCACTTCAGGTGGGATTTCTGCCTAATGTCCTACTACAGGATTTGGAGCCGTTAAGGGCAATCCTGGACCTTTTGTTTTATACTTTGAAAATTCTTGTAACTTAGTTTGGAAGGCTTGGATTGTATGCCTTGGAAGAATTGAAATTTGTAAAATTACTGTTATAAGTTTATTGTGACTCGGTTGATATGTATGTGTGGATGTTTGTATAGGGTGGACCATTCCATAGAGGGTTATGAGTTGATTTAACATGTGAAAAGAAAAAAAGATAACTTCAAGAGAGTTTGCTCTCTTTCTCTCTCCTTCAGCGAGCAGCTATTACTGCTTTGTACTTTTACTATTAGAATCTTTTTTTTGCCTTTTCCACCTTAGGTTAAATGATCCTTACAGAAGTTGCGTTATACCTTATATGCTTACTGTGCATTTTTATCTGTAGGGAGTGACTTACTAATGTGTTAATTATGTTCTCTTTTTGGTTGCAGACTGTTGATCAATTTTTTGCTCTTAAGGTCCCAATGAGGTTGGAGGAATTGAATAGCCTGTTTCGTGGCATTGACAATGCTTTTCAAGTGTATGCAAAACATGTTGTTGACAAGTTAGGTATGACCTTGCTTTGTATATGCTTTTATACATTCTTACTTCAAATTTTATTGTTTACATGTAAACTGAGGATGAGTTAGACAGTTATATCATAGCCTTTGAGTTATGAATTTATTATCTTCTCTCTCTCTCTCTCTCTATATATATATATATATATCATGTTGGGCATGCATGTTTTATCTGGTTTTTCCAATTTTCTGGTTCGTTCATGATAGTGATAGTAATATGCTGTGGACTTGTGTTGTTGCAAAAGTATTGAAATAAGTATGAGCAATTATCCTTTTCTTTGAACTTCCTCTTTTGATGACACATTTCAATGGGCTATTGTGTTTGTGTTTGTGCTTGGAGAGTCTTTTGAGGATAAAATATCTATAAAAAATTATTTTAAAAAATTAAATAAATAAAACATCAAGAAAAAGTTAAATAAAATTATTTTATTTTTAAATTGAGGCATTTAAATTTTATTGAATTTTAGTAAATATAATACATAATTAAATAGTAGAGGGTCGAAATGGTCATTTTAGCATCTAATCCCAACAGTGGATAGTCCCCCACATTCTGTCCCACCCCTCCCCCCAGGACACAATAGTCCCCCATATGGGGGATAAGGAGTCCGGCCGGACTCCATGTCCGGCGGACTAAAAAAAAATCAAACAGCGGATAAGGAGCACTATTTGGATTGTAATCCAAATAGTGGATAGTCCCCCCCTCCAATCCCACGAATCAAACACGCCCTATATGCTTACTGTGCATTTTTATCTGTAGGGAGTGACTTACTAATGTGTTAATTATGTTGTCTTTTTGGTTGCAGACTGTTGATCAATTTTTTGCTCTTAAGGTCCCAATGAGGTTGGGGGAATTGAATAGCCTGTTTCGTGGCATTGACAATGCTTTTCAAGTGTATGCAAAACATGTTGTTGACAAGTTAGGTATGACCTTGCTTTGTATATGCTTTTATACATTCTTACTTCAAATTTTATTGTTTACATGTAAACTGAGGATGAGTTAGACAGTTATATCATAGCCTTTGAGTTATGAATTTATTATCTTCTCTCTCTCTCTCTCTCTATATATATATATATATATATCATGTTGGGCATGCATGTTTTATCTGGTTTTTCCAATTTTCTGGTTCGTTCATGATAGTGATAGTAATATGCTGTGGACTTGTGTTGTTGCAAAAGTATTGAAATAAGTATGAGCAATTATCCTTTTCTTTGAACTTCCTCTTTTGATGACACATTTCAATGGGCTATTGTGTTTGTGTTTGTGCTTGGAGAGTCTTTTGAGGATTGTGTTGTGTATGCAATGCTCATAAGTCTAACTATGAGTCTGAGTGATTGTGTGTATGTCCATTTGATAGTAACTCATTCTGATTGGTTGATTTATGTACTTGGAAATTGCTTTAGCAGGATTATTTTACCCTGACAATCTGAAACTGTCTAATTGCTCATTCCACATCTTATGTTCGTTATAGAAACAAACAATTGCAGTGGTTTTGGGGTTCTATTACCTTCACATCGTCCATCAGCCCAAAATGATGGAACCCTCCTCCCCTGAGTGCAGGGAACTGTGTCTTAGGAGAGCAGACCCTCCTGCTTTGTTCTTGCTTTTTATTGTCTTAGTAAATGAATAGCTATCATGCTGCATGGTTGAAGCTGAAAATGGCATTTTAGATTTTGTGGTAGAATTCAATCTCATAGTAATCGGCATTTTCTTTAAAGGGAGAGAGGAACACAAATTACTTTTAAAAGTGAGTCAAATAAGAGTGAAATAGATTACTTTCTTGTAAGAGAAGCAATTCGCTTGAGTCTGTAAAGATGCAAGGTGATCTCCGAAGAAAGTTTAATGTCACAACTCAAGCTAACAATACTAGATATATCAAACATTAGAACAACATCAAACCTCAAAAGATATTAGAAGCCCATAAACGTGGAATTGGAAGATAAAACTAATAATGTGTAAAATAATGGTGGAATGCATTAAAATAATATTGATGCCACATACAGACTTATATATATATATGCATTTCAACCGACAGTTTAAAACATTCAGTCTTTTCTTTTGCCTGTATAACTCCAAGATATTGTATCAACTATCTAATCTTATCTGTTGAGTCATCTTTCAAAATTGGAAAATGTAATACCCATTGTATTGATGAATCTATACGATATGAACCTTGTAATTTTGGTTACACAGCTCGCAAAGAAGATCTAATTCCACCTGTACCTGTCCTTACACGATATAAAAAGGAAGCTGGAATTAAGGCCTTTGTAAAGAAGGAACTAATTGATCCCAGGCTGCCTGATGTGAGAAGGTCTACTGAAATTAATGCTCTGATGACGCCTACACTGTGTGTCCAGTTAAATACACTTTACGTAAGTTCAAGCCTTTCAAGTTCAACTTCTCCTCACATCATTTTCTTCTTGACATCAGGTCTTATTTTTTCCTTTCCTTTTGTTTTGTTTTTGTCTTTGTTTGTTTTTGTTTTTGTTTTTTTTTCTTTTTCTTTTTCTGCAGAACTTAAGGAATTTATTTTTTTTATTAAAATTATTATGACTATAAAGGTGGCTTATTATATGCTGGACATGGAATCAATTTTTCTGTATTTATTGCTTCTTAGACCATTTATTTATTTTAATTGTGGCCATGGGACATGGATATGACATAACATAGACACGTCAACAAGATAATTTTCAAAAAAATCAGGACATGACACAACTTGAACACATCAATGAATAAATATCCATTTTTATATGTACAAAAAAACAAAAACAAAAACAAAACAAAACAAAACAAAAAGTACATCCAATTTAGCCCCTATTGAATGCGGGTCTAGGAGGGGCAATGATGGCGCAATTAGAGGGTACTTATCCACTTTGGAAACCTCAGGTGAAGCTTGTTGCATGGAAAAAAAACTTTCTGGTTGTATAAATGTGATTGGTTGATTTTCTTATTATCAATAAATATTTGGTTACGATATTTTCATATTTCTTTCCCAGTAGGATTATATTTTTTATTATTATTTAGATTTTAGTTTCCTATTTTAATTTGGGTTATTTGGCTATAACTAAGTGGTTTTGCATTGTATTACTCAAAGTTAGATTAATGTTGTGGCTTCTGCGCTTCTTCCCTCTTCTTTTCTTTCTACTTTCTGCATTAATTTGGTATCAAAGCTAAGTCGTGACCCATCTGCACTGATTGACATCATCTTCTCATTGCATTGTGCATCTTCACGACATCATTGTTTTCACAACCTTTGCTGCGTCATTACCTTACACCGTTTTTGAAGAATTAAATGAAAAGATAAAAGAATGAAAAGAGAGAGAGGAGAGAAGAGAAGAGATGTTAGGAAAAGAGAGAATGAGAGCACATAGGGTTCTCCTCCCTGTTCTTTAATATTTATACTTATAGAAAAGATTACAATACTATCCTTCTCACTAACACATAACCAACATTCTCTCTCAAGTTGGGGCAAAGATATTGCAAAGGCCCAACTTGTCATGGGTAGAGTAAAACAGCATACTAGACACTCCTTTAGTCAAAATATCTGCAAGTTGAACCCCCGTCTTGACAAACACGGCACAAATCACACCCTCATTCAACTTCTTTTTGATGAAATGTCTATCAACCTTCACGTGCTTTGTTCTATCATGTTAAATTGGATTGTGTGCAATGTTAACTGTAACTTTATTGTCACAAAACAGTTTCATAGGACTGTCCTAATCAAAACCCAACTCTTTCAAAAGTGACTTCAACCACAGCAATTCACATATTCCATGAGCCATTGATCTAAATTCTACCTCCGCACTTGACCTAGCAACCACAGATTGCTTCTTGCTACACCATGTCACGAGATTACCACCTACAGAAGTGTAGTATACCGAAGTGGATCTCCTGTCAATGATGGATCCTGCCTAATCTGCATCAGTATAGGCTTTTATTTGCAAATCATCATGTTTTGAAAACAATACACTCCTACCATATGCTAACTTCAAGTACCATAAAATTCTATACACAGCCTCCATATGAACTTCACGAGGTGAATGTATAAGGGGGGACTACTTACAGGTGGGGATAGGGAATTATCAATACATGAAGGGTACAAATGTGTCTGTGGTGGGGTGCAAATGAAAGACTGTGGGGGTGCAAGTGTCACGTGCACCCCCTCATATGTTGGTAATTATTTTTTTCGTCTCCCACTTTCATGTAGTTCTTCCAATGCATAAAATGACTAACCACATTGATTGCATATGCTAGGTTTGGACGAGTGAGTGAGAGGTAAATAAGTCTACCAACAAGTCTTTATTAACGACCCCCATCAACAAGAGTATCACTTTCACTATTTCCCAGTCTATGATTATGTTCAATTGGAGTGTCCACCACCGGTTTACATCCCAACATCTCGGTCTCCTTAAGAAGGTCAAGCACATATTTACGTTGAGATACAAAAATACCATGTTTAGATCAATCGAGCAACCTCAATACCTAAGAAGTACTTTAGTTCTCCCAAGTCCTTTATTTCAAATTCCTTAGCCAAAGAATTCTTCAATTTATCCATCTCAATTATATCATCCCCGGTCAGTACATTATCATCCCAAGTCCTTTATTTCAAATTCCTTAGCCAAAGAATTCTTCAATTTATCCATCTCAATTATATCATCCCCGGTCAATACATTATCATCAACATACACTATCAATGCAGTTATCTTCTCATGCGATGAATGTTTGACAAACAAGGTGTGATCAGCTTGACATTGACGATACCCAATTCTAAGCGTAGCTTTGGTAAATCTCTCAAACCATGCCCTCGGTGATTGTTTCAAACCATATAGTGACTTCTTCACCCTACAAACCTTCCCACTATTATTGGGAAGTGGAAATCCAGAAAGGATATCCATATACACTTCCTCTTTCAAGTCACCATGGAGAAAAGCATTTTTCACATCAAGCTGCTGAAGAGGCCAACCCAAGTTAGCTACCAACGAAAAGAGGGATTAATAGGGTGTTAATTCACATTGTTTTTGTTTTATCATTGAATACTAAGTTACTTTCTTCAAATTTGCAATGCCTTTCATGTGCCTCTAGCTGTGGATACCTGTGTCCCCCCAAGTGTTGGGGCTTGTCTGGTTCTAAAAAAATAATAATATTATCACATTTGGACGTGTATGACCTGTGTCGGGGAGTGTTCGTTGAGTGCTTGTGTCAGTCATATGACCCCCAAGTTATCTATGATTTTTTCCCAGTAAATTAATGAGTTAATTATTTGCTCAATTGCTCTATAGAAGTAGCACGTGGGTTCAACTCTAGATATAAGAGAAATTAGTTAGTTCGTGTGGGTAGAGTCACTCTTTTGGTTGGATTGAAAGGGCTAGCCTTCCTCTTATTATTAGTTAAGGAGTTGCTTTTGGGAAACAAGAATTGGGGATCATATGTGGGCAAAATTCCCACAAATGGTTGATATGTTCAGTCGACTCCCTCCCCTTTTGTGAGGGTCCATCCAACCATCATATTAGCAGATAAACGTATTCCTGAGCAATGCGCAAAAACAATGAGGTCAATTGTGCTAGCATCCAGGCAATCTCAACTAGTTGACGGCCAACTGGCTCATTAGAAAGTTGCTGATTTGCTTATCAGTGACCTTTGTATCATTTCCCCCCTTCTAAATCTGGATTATGTTAAATATACAAATAATTGATAGTACAAGGTTCAAACAAATGTTACATGTCTTTCGCATCAACACTTGGCCAATTAAATTACTTATTGGCAATTAAACTGATGAGTATGGTTTCTGAACTAGTTTCTGCAGAAAGTAAGAAACCTCCAATTGCACAGCATGTTGATAGTTTTGCTGTGGTTGTACTCTTGCTGAAAATGCTTAGAAGACTGTCTGGGTAAAATTTGGAAACTGAGGACCCCTTGAACTAGACCTGTTTTATTTTTTTTATAGCTCGTGACCTACACACATAAAGAAGAGAGTTTGATTTTTGGAAACCAGCAATTGTTTTGAAGGTTTATCTTTATAAAGTACATGGAAAAAAAAAAACCTATTAGTTCACCTTGAATTTGAGGGATATAAATAAATTTCAGTGGTGCTGGGAATATTGTCCTTGGAGTGGGTATGACTACGAGTAGTTTGCAAGTCCCTTTTTCAGTGATTTCCAACTCTTGACAAAATAAAATAATTGTGCTGGTAAATTACAAGGCAGTGGGAAGTGGGGAAATTATTTACCAAAAGGTGGGGGTACAACTTTTGCTGTGTTTTTTTTGCACAGAAAAAGTTGCACCTGCCATATGTTTGTAATTATTTTGGTATTTGTGTTCCCCTATTCTTATTTATTTATTTATTTTTCTTGCTACAGTTGTTGCTTTCTGAACTTATTCATGGATAAAATCATTCAGAGGGCCTGCCCTGGTATCATCATCAATAACTTGAAAATAAAATCTAGTCAATGACATGGGATATTTTTCTGTTACTTTAAGCCCAAATGCTTGCCACAGGACCTCATATATTGTTTGCAAGTTGTTTTCTCCCAAAATGAGTTAGTAACAATGTTGATCATAAACTGTTTGCTAAAAAGTATTATCTTGAAGTTAACTGCAATTTTTAGTGCTTTTGGCAATCAAAAATATATATTGGATGATGTCTATTTGTATCTAATACAGGCTTTTTTTTTCTTTTTTTTTTTTCCCATGTTAAGTATGCCATTAGTCAACTGAATAAGTTGGAAGAAAGTATCTGGGAGCGGTGGACAAGAAAAAGGACACAAGCCAAGTCAGTCAGTATGTACCCATACATCCAATACATATCTCTTTATTTTCATTTTAATAATTTGTTTTCAATCCCATCTACCATCAATTGAAAAGTACTTGCCATTGGAACTGACATACTGTTGCAGCTGAAGGAAAATGAGAGAATGGCATTTTCATTGGGCATTTTACTATTTCCAATATGTATAACTTGTTTTAAGGAATTTAAGCTTTCATGTGGGTGTTATACTGGCTTTCTCATAAATAGAACTGATCAGTATTTGAGGTTTTTTATGCTCTGATGATAATGTGGATGGTCCCAAAAATGTCACATTGGTTGAATTTGAGCTTTAGCCCAACCCAAATTTCTCTAAACTTATTCTTTGCAAGTTCTAACTACAACAACAACAACAACAACAACAAAAACCCTTAACCCAGTGGGTTGATTTCTTTTGCTTTTGTTTATGCTTCCAGGAAGTTGGGAGTGCTATGTATGATTGCCTCCTAATTATTTTTCGAGAGATTGAACCTAATTGCTTTCAGTGGATTAACAAGACAAAGTGTTTTACCTGACTTTTTTAATACATTATGTTACAATTCACACACACAAGCACATCTGAATTTACAATGAAAATTATGCTACTGAACTATTGATAGTGCTAATTTTTTTGAGTCAGCTACATTGATCTATTTTTTCTCTAGTTGCATTTATTAAAGATAAACCCTTGGTTGAACTTGAGAAAATCATGTTCATTCTCCTTTACTTAACCCATATCCTTTTGGTCTTTCTTTTGTCCTTTAGGCACCTTAGGCTTGGATCAAATTACTTCTTCTTACAACATGTATTAGTTGGTCTATATCGTACAAGACTGAACCATCTAAAATATGTCCATTGCCAGTGGCGACGCCTGAAAAACAGTTCGGTGGGTTCAAAATTGAAGTAGTTGATATATCTTGTGTTTTTTCCCAAATTCTTCTGTTGGGCGTAAAACCTTTATATTCTAAAGTGTCTCTCCACAGTTCATTCCTAGTTGTAATGCAGGTCACAACAAATAACCTCATAATCCAATTGTGTTCGAAGAGTCCTGCTAATCTGTGCCATCCCATAAGTGATAAATTATGCTAAAACTTTGATGTTACATGTAAAATAAGTCACAACTGTATGGCCGTCTGGAACATGAGTTAAAATTTGAGATACATTGTGACCTGTCAGACTTTGCCGTATTGCGGAGTTGTTGTAACAATTTCTTACTTGTGATTAAATGATAGGAAACATTTTTCACAAACTTACACATTGTGGATGAGATTCTTCCTTCATTCGTATCTTATCCCCTACCCGTTTGGTTAAGGCTTATCTTTACAAACTAAACTTTTCCTCCATTTATCATAAGACACTCCTTAACCTTCGAACAAGGGATCACTATCATATATTAGCTTCCTATGGTAAAAAATCAATAATATACTAAATATATTATTACTAATTGGATCATACACATTTTGTATTCTATGTGTGGATGGTTGGAAGTGAGCTGGGAAGATGGAAGGCATTGAGATGGCTGGAGAACATGGGTGCTCACAGATCAGGTTTGTGCGTTTTGGGTCGCTGGTTGGACCCACTTGATGGTGTACAAGTTGGGGAAAAGTGGACCCACAACTGCCTGTAATGCGGTTTATGGGCTGCGCGGGTAGGGTTTGCAGGCAGTTTGCGAATTGGTCCTTTTCCAAAAATAAAAAAAAAATAACGGAAAAAAAAAACTCAAGAACAATTTGAAAAAACTAAACCAAACCCAGATTTTTAGAATTAGACGAAGAGAGTTTTGGGAATTTTGAGTCACCCACAGAAATAGCCTGATCAATGGTACCAATGCTTGCTGTTTTACTTTTCAAAATAGGGAATTTGCTTTCACATTTGTGTTAGTTAACCTATCATCACTCTCTGTGTCTGTGTGTGAAAGAACAAGCTTGTCTGTGTGTGGAAGAACAAGCTTTGATTTGATTGAAATGCATTTGCAGGGGAATTCCAAATTGGAGACAACATCATCCCATTGGATCCAAAAGATGTGAAAAGTGTTGTTTATTATGTGATCTGAATTACCTCACAGAACAAATGGAAAGAAAGAGGCGAACTGACTTGAACGACTCAACGAGTGAGAGAAATGAGAGGCTGAGCGAGAGGTTGTTGCTGCTGTTGTTGAGATAAAATTAGGGTTTACAAGTAAAATATCTAATCTGACGATACAGATTAAAAAAAACATAATTGTATAAAGTGCGGGTGTGAGTCAAAGCCGCAACCCACCCGCAAAATAGGCAAAATCTGAACTGCATCCGACCCTAATGAACCATCGAAACTGCACAAACAAGTGCGGGTCGGATCGGGTATGGCGGTTTTCGTAGGTTAGATAACCCTATGCCTAGCCCTACTAGAGAACACCAAAGGAGGGAGACGAGAGAGCCAAGGCAGTCTTAGGAGAGAGAAAGAGAGAGGGTGGTAGTGGGGAGCTTTAAGCCTAAGAGGAGCAAGAGGATGTTCTCTTTGTATAGGATGATGAGCCCTATGTTACCTGGAATGGGGATCATTCCGGTACGTGCAACGAAAACAGGAACGTGGTACGCCACATACTCTAAAATGTGGTTTGATAGGGGTAGACTTGTATATATTATGTTTAAGAATTTAAGTATTTCTAGAGTAATTTTTTTTAACTATTAGATATGCAATAAAATGTAATATTTTCTATGAGCATTATGACCCATTTCTTGATTTTTTGTCTTATCAAAACTTAATTCATCTTAAATTTTAGTTCATTATATTTGAATTTTTTCTTCCTAAGATAACATTTAAGGGACATATATTGAAAAAAACTTTTTGGATCACTTTGGATCACTAAATTTACCATTTTGGAATGGAAGTGTACCATGTTTCGGAATGTGCGTACCAATACGTAATTTGCTAGGGTATTAGCATTTTCTGGTAACATAGGGTGAGCGAAGGGAACTAGCTTAGCTGAGGGCAGGTGGCGCAACCCCCTTGGCTAGGTAAAATTGAGGGAAACTCAATCAACTCTGTAGCCTTGGGGGATGTATCATATGTAGACTGTTGGTAGGTATGATACATCCATGTTAGTCACGTTGAAGTGGCTCAATGATACACAATAGAGAACCATTGGACAAAGGCTCCTCACTCTCTAAGATTGGTCTGAGTGCACCATATCTTTGGGGAGAGAGGCTTCGCATGCGTTTGGACAAACCCTTGAACTCTAGTTTCCAATCCAGAAGTCTCTGGTGGTCCTTAGTCAGTTACCTAGGCCTGCTACCATACTAGGTAACGCAAGGTGTCCTATGAATCTTCGAGGTTAAGGCCTCGTTTGATGGAGCTCTTGGCATGCCAAGCAACTGAGCGAACCAGGAAAGGAATTGCGCCTGAGCACGCAGCTAGAGCGAATGGGCCTGTTGATGAGGTTGAGCATGGGAAGGCCCACTCAAGTGGTTTGCTCACATGTCACCTTATGGGGATCAACAAGTTGGGAACGTGGTGTACGTGTCTTCTGGGACAAGTCTCCCATTGGTGGTGTGGTGGTGATTAGACAATGCCACTGCCACGTAGCGGGTGTGGACCCATGTGCATACACCACGTAATTAGAAATGGCGAGTTGCTTTTACATAAATACCTGAAAATAGGCAAACAAATTAATATATTTTGGACAAAATAAAAGGAAAGATCAGCAAAACTATAGCATACAGTTGATTGAAATTACTGAAAATATCAGTCCGTGTAGAAATTCAAACTAATGGACAATTTAACTACTGAAATCTGGGATATTGGCAGTAGTGTCTCATTTTCTCTGAGACATCTAAAATGTTTATTATAAACTGGATTGAAAATATTGGTCTCGTAGATTGCCATCCTCCAATTATCATGATCCATTATTTTTCTGTTCTTTGGGCTTCTGGATGCCTAATTTTAATTTTATGGAATTCTGGTTCTCTGTACATTGTATATGGGTTAGATTGACGTAAATGTTACATGATTGTTTTCTTTACAAGATATATGGGATTTCTCTAAGCAATGTGTTTGATGAGTAGATTATAATTGTACTTCATTTTTTCCTACGAAGTGATTTATATTATGAATTCCTATTTTATTGACCCTTTCATCTGTAGAAAAGTCCACTGATGAGAATTCAAGAAGTTCCTCACAAATGGACACATTTGATGGAAGTAGAAAAGATATAAATGCAGCTATTGACCGTATCTGTGAGTTTACAGGTGAGAATTGTTGTGCCTTCATATCTATTTCATTAAAGGCAAACTTAACCACTGGTGATATTTGTTTTCAATTTGCAGGAACTAAGATTGTTTTCTGGGATCTGAGGGAGGCATTCATTGACAACCTATATAAACCCAGTGTTTCTCAGTCCAGGATGGAAGCACTAATTGAACCTCTTGATGTGGTATGGTTTGCATCTATTGGAAGTTATTTTTACATGAAGTATATCCAATTTTGTTACAACTGGTTGCTAGCTGAGAACATAAATGGCAAGTCCTATAGAAAAGCATATTTTAACGCATGTAGTTAGTTCCATCCTCAATGTAATAGATAAGCTATGAGTCTGTACTTATTCTTCCTTGACTTGCATTAGCTACTAATGTTGCATAGTATAATAGAATCATGTCCCATTTTCCATGCTATTCTTTGTCAATGCCAAATCTCAAAAGAATGTGGACTTACTTTTAAGTAATTGAATCATGTGGTTTTATTTTACATATTTAACCTTTTAATTAGTAGTATTTTTACATATTTACCCTTTTAATTAATGTGGAAATCCTAAACATGATAGAGCTTCAACACGATTATGATTCATTGAGATTCTCAATGTGATCTTGAAGAAAGAAACTCATATTGTAAATCAAGCATGGCCTATCTTTGGTTAGAACGAAATGTATATTACTAAAACTACGGTTGTAGGACATTTCATCTTCCCTAAGCATGGATCATCTCAACTAACGAGTGTTGTTATCACAATCACAAAAAGCAAAAACAATCATTGAAAACTTTAAAGGAACAATTTTATAAACTAATCTCAAAGTTATACAATCTTCACATTATAATAGTCAATCCCAATAATCGAATTACAGAAACTCCTACTTACTTGATTAGGGGTTTCATCTAAACCCTAGCCACTCATGGAGAGGAGGAAAACTACCATCTTCAATGAGAGCACCATGAATGAACCTTGAAAAGATCTTCCTCTTTGCTCTTGAGTCTTGAGCCTCTTCTCCAAGCTTGAACAACCGCAAACTTTGTGGCTTGACTTCTCATTTATACTTCCCTCCAAATTAGGGTTGAAAAGGAGTCTTTTCATATCAAATCTTTGGGACATACACCAACCACCACTTGAGCCGCACCCCTGTGGACTCAAATGGTACACTGCTGCGACTGGGTTTTTATTTCCTGCAATGTTTTGTGTTTGCAGGATCCTACTGCTCAAGCAGACACTTGAGTGGTCAACCACTGAGGCTTCTGATGATGGGCCCAATCAAGAACATGAAAGAGAAAATGTAGAGAGCAATCTGAATCAATTAATGTTTTATTATTCCAAAATTCGTTACAAAGTGGTTATGCCTCTTCTAGATATAGGCTACAATTTCCCTCCCCAAACTGCCACATATTATGCACATGATATACTACATCATACTCTCCCACTCAAAAGAACTTATTTTCAAGTGAAGACAAACAAAACACAACTAATGCACTAGAAGTGAAACACAAAACTAGGAAGTACACTACAAACAAATTCCACAAAGGAAGCTAATCTATAATATAGGGAATGGTTTTGGTGCAAGAAGAACCCATCAACAAGGGAAGTGACTTAATTGTTGCAAGTCCTTATTCAAGAACAACCTAGCAAATGTCCTTCCATCAAAACGAGTTCTCGTTTATGCACATCAACCGAAGCCATGTAATTGTTTTCACCAATTAGAGGCACGACCTTTGAGGTTTTGAGAGACCAATTTCACCTTCTTTGCTTCCGGCATATTATAATACTCCAAATGACTCTCAATTGTCTTCAACCATTCCTCGAACACATCCGGATTGTAGCTTCCACGGAATTCGGGAAATACTTAATCCTTTAGGGTGTCAATTCAATTTAGAATCAAACTCTTGCGAATGTGCTCTACGCCTATGCAGAGCATCAAAGGAATCATCAAGTTTATGATACTTGGAACCATTACTACCTTTGGAAGGAGGTAGGAGACATTGCACCGTCTCGATTAAAGCGGCAATTTGCCATATCATTTCAACCATTTCATCTCTTTGATGTGGAACCCCATTATCCTCGGCATCATCACCCAAATCCGAGGAATAAGCCCAACCACGACCACCCCGACGACCTCGATCCCAATTAGCCATTTTAGTTTATAAACACAACACAAAAAATCTTCACAGATTGCAGCAATCCAAATGAAAGTATGCCTCAACAGTGTATCAAAGAACTCAAGCAAATTGTTATCAAAGAATAAGAACCAAATATCCAAGATACAGAATTAAGAACTAATTCAGAACATGCAAAAATCAATTCAGAATTTCAAGATGTGCCAAGAACCTAGATAATCACAAAAAACCCAAAATTCACAAACCTGGAACAGAGAGTCCGAATCCAAATCTCCCCACTGAGTCAAAATCCAAATCTCCACAAACAGGTGCAAAAACCCAGATACAAATTCCAGATCAGTAACGAAGATCTGTGATCAATCGCGAGTAGCGAGTACGTCCCTGCTTGCGAGGACCCATGCGAAAATCCAAAAACAACCTTCGTGATGGGTTTGCTTCGATAAGCTTCATACTGCGACCATGATTTGAACCTCAGATTGAGTCGTGATTCGAATCAGGTGAACAGGGAACAAGCGATGTCTTCAAGCTTTGAATTGCAAGGTATTCTCGGCATGCAATCTTGCTGTGATCAACAGACTTTGATTCGTGAGAAGATTTTCATGCGCAAAAGGGTATCAAATCGCGACTTCAGTTCGCGAAGAGACCATGAATTGCGATGGTGTTCTCGTTACTGGAGATGGAAGAATCAAAACCGACTCGCAAAATCGATTGTATGGATGTCAAGTTGAACTCGATCTGCCTGCTAGGGTTTTTGAGATGAACTTCCAGTGATGAACCCAGACGAAGATTTAGTCAACAAACTCGAATCGAAAGTTCCAGCGTTGATCGAAACTGAATCTGCAAAACCAACTTTCAATCAACAACAAAAGGGGGCCAAATTAGGTACTTGAATTCCCTAGTAGTGAATTAGGTGATGAACCACTGAGAATATGAGAAAGTAGGACCTAAACCTATTGCTCTGATACCAACTGATGATGGGCCCAATGAAGAATATGAAAGAGAAAATGTAGAGAGAGAAATCTCAATCAATCAATGTTTATTATTCCAAAATTAGTGACAAAGTGGTTATGCCTCTTCTAGATATAGGCTATAATTTCCCTCCCCTAACTACCACATGCTATGCACGTGATATCCTACATCAGCTTCTCTTTTGTTCTTTCCTTGACATGTTCATCTCAGGCCATATACACCCATTAGGCTTTCTAAGAGTCCAAACACATGTTGGTTTCATTGCCAAATCTCTGATCAGCCTGTAAACAGAGAAATAGAGTAAAGCGCATCAAGTAACAAGGATGGAGGTGTGGCAAATGTATGTTAGAGGGCCTTCATGTGTAACATTTGGCACCGATCAATATCTCTACACTCACTTGTACATGAGTCACTCTTTAAGGTACAATAGTTACAATGTAAGTGATGGGTATAAAGAGAAATTTAAGTGTATTTAAAAGCTCCCATTTTTGTTGTCAAACTGAAACTGTGAAATTTCTCAGATTTAAAAATGATAAATTTCTTAGAAAACACTCATATACTAATATTGCCTTCAATAACCCTTTCAACTAAATATTTACTTTCTGATTTAGTGCTGCTATTTGATTTAGATATTTATGTAAAAAAACACGCACTAATACTGCACATTGATGAACCATTCAACTAAATATCCACTTTCTCATTAGTAGTTTCTTCAAAATCACTTTTGGTTGAACAGAGAATTAGTGTTGGGTTGGATCAGCAAATTAAAAAATAAAAATAAAATACAAAAATGGATCACAGAAATTCAATGTCCTGCACATAAAAATAACCTGCACTTGTGGTATGTATATCCTGAATTGTTTGACCAAGCTGGAACGGTGCCAAGTTTGAACATGTGTGAATTGATGTAATAAGCATTGTAATAAATCTGGAGTGTGGATCTCACTAAGAAGCTTTAACGCTTCACTTGATCGTTTACTCTTCAAAATGCATGTCGTCATGGTATTCATAGAAGTCTTTGTTAGAATAGGAAATATTAGAATAGGAAATAGTTGGTTGTATTCTTATTCATTCCTTTTTTGATTACTCAGACTATGCATGTAATTGACTCATTTATCAATATAAAAGGGAATGAAGTCTAACTACTCTTTTTCTTCTCTAAAATTACATGGTATCGGAGCCTAAACCCTAGCCCATACCTTATTCTTGTCTGTCGGCAGCTCTATCTTCCCTAGGAGCCCAGTCGGCCACAGTAGCCTCTTACCCAGACCATCGTCTGTCATCCCATAGTCCATCCAGGCCATCGTCAGTCTCCTAGGGGGTCTATCGGCACTCTAGGGCCTCACCCAGGCCATCGTAAGGCACCCTAGGGCCTACCAACAGCCTCTCCAGCTTCCTTGGCTTCTGTCGGCATCTCCTAGGCAGCCGTCGACTGTCGACTCTCTCTTCGTCTCTCTCGCAGTCGTCGACTCTCTCGCAGTCATCGACTCTCAGCGTCGTCTCTCTCTCTTTTCTTATAAAGTTGTAATGGTATATTAGTAGTGCTTCTAATGGTTGGTTAGTTAAATATATATATATATATAATGATGCTACGTTAAAAAAAAAAAATTATTTTGCTTTTCTCTTTGTGGTCATATTGTTGGCTATTCCTCCACCATCTTCCGAGTTTGTGATTGGCACTGGGTTTGGGGGTTACTTAGTAGCATATTCATGGCAGATTTCACTAGTGAGTCCACAACCTTTCAGTCACCTAAGAGCAAGAGTTCTCTTATCCCTTCTACTATGACTGATAATCTCAACCCTAGCCTTAAAATCACCACTTCTCTATTCAATGGTCAGAACTATCTAGCGTGGTCGCAGAGTCTGACTATTTTTTTGAAGAGCAGAGGGAAGATGGGGTATGTTGATGGCAGAATCCAGGCACCCCTCACCACAGACCCGAGTTATGATTAGTGGGAGATCACCAACTCCCTTATTATGGGTTGGTTGATACATTCTATGATCCCGGAGATTGGAGAGGGCTATCTCTCTATGGACACTGCATAGGATATTTGGGAGGCCGTGAATACCACTTACTCCCAGAAGGGGAACTTCTCACAGGCTTTCGAGTTACGTCGCTCCATTGAAAGGTCGGTACAAGGTGAGATGACGATCCTCCAATATTTTACCTTCCTTAGCAATGGGTGGAAGCGACTTGATCACCTTTAGGATTACAAGCCTGTCTGTCCGACTGATTCTGCTGGTTACCAAACATTTGTAGTGCAAGAAAGGGTCTTCAAGTTCTTGGAAGGCCTTAATGTAGAGTATGATCCGAAGCAAAGTACTTAGCATGGATGTGCTTCCTTCTCTCCAAGAAGCCGTTGCTTTTGTGCAGAATGAGGAGAGTCGCCGCTCTGCGATGCTTCCTTCTACTGCTCCTAATCGCTCGGCCTTGGTTTCTGTACCCCCTCGCGATGGAGACCGTGTGACTCGTGGTTCTCGTTCTTCCTCTAAGAAAGATAATCTTTTCTGCGACTACTGTCGTTGACCTCACCACACACGAGAGACCTGTTGGAAGCTGCATGGGACTCCTTCTGGTGGCCGAGGAGACCGTCTTGGTACTCGAGGGGGTAGGTCTGGTCAGTCTAGAGGCCGAGGGGCCAATGCTCGGGCATATCATTCAGACACTATTGAGCCACCATTTTCCTCTCCAATTGTCTCCCCTGCTGCTGATGTTTCGGGGTTATCTACCTCGGATTTTGAGATTACTCTTCACCACTTGCTGGACCATCGAGCCTCCACTTCTGCTACAGGTGCACCCTCTTCTTCTTTTGCCCATTCATGTAACTTGGCTTCCTCTTCATGTGCATTGCTCTCTCATACGACTGTACTATGGATTATTGATTCTAGTGCTTCCGACCATATGTCTGGCTCCTCTAATTTATTTTCAGAGTATAACCCCTCATCAGGTCAAGAAAAAGTGCGTATTGCTGATGGTACTATCTCCTCAGTGTTCAGGAAAGGTTTAATTCATGCTACCTCTTCCCTCCCTTTATCCTCTGTCCTCTATGTTCCAAATTTTGGTATTAATCTTTTATCTTTGAGTCGTATTATTACCCGTGACTTAAATTGTAGCATGACGTTTTTTTCCTGATCATTGTCTTTTTCAAGACCTCATTACGAGGAAGAGGATTGGCAGTGGTAGAGTGGAATATGGTCTCTACATTCTGGATCAGACCAACAAGCTGGCTCACTTATCTCTTCAGTTACCATCCACCAAGGAAGACATTTGGCTGTGGCACCGTCGCTTAGGACATCCTTCTTTTTTATTACTTAAGCATTTATTTCCTTCTGTTTTTGAGACAAATAATGTGTCTGATTTTCAATGTGAATCTTGTCAACTTGGAAAACAACACAGGGCCTCTTTTGCTCCTTCTCTTAATAAAAGTTTAGTTCTATTTTCTTTAATTCATTCCGATGTATGGGGTCCATCCTGTTTTGTGTCTTTGACGGGTAAAAAATAGTTTGTTACCTTCATCGATGATTATTCCCGAGCCACTTGAGCCTATTTGATGAAAGATAAAAGTGAGGTCTTTTCTGTGTTTCAAAACTTTCATAAAATGATTTGTACTCAGTTTGGGGTGGTTGTCAAAATTCTACGTTTTGATAATGGAGGAAAATATATAGACTCTGGTCTTGCCACTTACTTCACCACTCATGGCATTATTCACCGAACTTCATACACTAATACCCCTCAACAAAATGGTGTTGCCGAACGAAAAAATCGTCATCTCCTTGATATCGCTCATTGTCTATCCTTTGAGATGCGGGTTCCTCGATCCTATTGGGGAGACGTGGTTCTCACTGCCGCTTATTTGATTAATCATCTTTCTACCCAAGTTCTTCAAAAACAAATACCTCTTCAAGTTTTGTTCGGGTTTACTCTTTCAGGGTTCTCCATTCCTCCTAAGACTTTTGTCTGTGTTTGCTTTGTCCATAATCATTCATCCACTCGTGGTAAATTGGATCCCCGGTCTCTTAAGTGTGTTTTCCTGGATTATTCTGCCACCAAAAACAGTTATAGGTGTTATCATCCTCCCACTCGCCAATGGTTTATCTCCATGGTGGTTACTTTCTTTGAGTCTCAGCCCTATTTTCCAACACCCCCCCCCCTCTCCCCGTCGATATCACAGTCATTCCTTCAAGGGGAGCGTTGGTGTGAAAAGATTCCTGTTCCTATTAAACAGATAGTGGATGATGAGCCAACAGTTGTTGAGGAAAAGGAAGCAAACAAAGTTTATATCAAGGATAGGGACAAGGACAAGGATAGACAGCATGTCACCTGGATGCAAGAGACTACTTCTCTTCCTCTACTGCCAACTTCTTCTTCGGATGAGTGTCCAAAGTCACCCACCTCTACTGAGAGTCCAGGTAATTTTGATTCTAGTGTTTCTATTCCTGCTTTTTCAGATCTTGATGTTCCCATTACTAATAGGAAGGGGGTTAGGTCTTGTACTCAGCATCCTATTAGTAATCATATCTCTTATTCTCATCTATCTTCCTTATACAAAGCGTTTCTATCGAAAGCGTCTTCTGTGAGTCTACCTACCAATTTTTAGGATGCTCTTTCTATTCCTGAATGGAAACATGCCATGATAGAAGAGATGAGAGCTCTCTACAAGAGTGGCACTTGGGAGTTAGTGGAGTTACCTAACGGCAAAAATCCAGTTGGGTGTAAGGGGGTGTACACGGTAAAACATAAAGCAAATGGTTCCATAGAACGATACAAAGCAAGACTGGTTGCAAAGGGCTTCACTCAGACTTATGGGGTGGATTACCAAGAGACATTTGCACCAGTTGCTAAGATGAATTCTGTGAGAATTTTACTCTCTTGCTGCAAATTGGATTGGCCCCTTCATCAATTTGATGTAAAGAATGCCTTTCTTCATGGAGATCTAGCAAAAAAAGTCTATATACATATTCTTCCCTGGTTTTGACAATGCTAAGTCCAACGGTAAAGTATGCAGGCTCCGAAAGTCTCTTTATGGGCTAAAGCACTCTCCTAGGGCTTGGTTTGAAAAGTTTACTCAAGCTATGTTGACATATGGGTTCAAGCAAAGTCAAGTTGATCACACCTTGTTTGTGAAACACTCCTCACATGGTAAGACCACAGCTCTTATTGTCTATGTTGATGATATTGTTATGACAGGAGATGATGTTGAGGAGAATCCTCGTTTGAAAGAATACTTTGCTAAAGAGTTTGAAATCAAAGACTTAGGCTATTTGAAGTATTTTTTGGGCATTGAAGTAGCTCGGTCCAAGGATGGCATCTTCATATGCCAGAGGAAGTATGTACTTGACTTGCTAAAGGAAACTGGAATGCTTGGAGGTAGACCATGTGATACACCTCTGGAACTAGGCCAGAAACTGAGTGAGGATCAAGAGGGAGATCCAGTGGACATAGGGAGATACCAGAGACTAGTGGACAAGCTCATATACTTATCCCACTCATGTCCAGACATTGCCATTGCCATGAGCATATTGAGCCAGTTTATGCATGCTCCTAGAACTTCCCACTTGGATGCTGTTATGAGAATCTTGAGATACCTGAAGTCTTCTCCTGGAAAGGGTCTCTATTTCTCAAAACATGGCCATCTCAGTGTAGAGGCATTTACTAATGCAGATTGGGCTAGCTCAGTCACTGACAGACGATCAACTTTCGGATACTGCACATTTGTGGGTGGCAATCTAGTCACATGGCGAATTAAGAAACAGAATGTGGTGGCTAGATCTAGTGTTGAGGCAGAATTCAGGGCTATGGCTCAAGGTGTATGTGAGTTACTATGGATTGAACTATTGTTGGGAGACTTGGGAATCCATCAGACTGACTCCATGCAACTATTCTGTGACAACAAGGCCGCAATTAACATAGCTCATAATCCAGTTCGGCATGATAGAATTAAACATGTGGAGATTGATAGGCACTTCATCAAGGAAAAACTCACTAGTGGCACCATATGTATTCCATTTGTGAAGACTGGGGACCAACTAGCTGATGTTCTCACTAAGGGACTAGGGAGCAAATCCTTTCATGGCATTCTCAACAAGCTGGGCATGAGAAATATCTTTGCACCAGCTTGAGAGAGAGTGTTAGAATAGGAAATTGTTAGAATATGAAATAGTTGGTTGTATTCTTATTCAACATTTTTTGATTACTCAGACTATGCATGTAATTGACTCAATTATCAATATAAAAGGGAATGAAGTCTAACTCATTCCCTAACTCTTTCTCTTCTCTAAAATTACTGTCTTCCTATACTCCATAGCCTTCAACTCATTGTTCAAGTGATGCATCTCTCCTCAAAACGTTTGAAAGCACCTCTAAGTTCAATCAATAGACGATTGTGGTTAACTTCTTCCTTGGATCATGATTTGCATATTTCTAATAAGAAGGAAGACTTAATAGACATATCTATAGAATCATTTTTGTAGATGCTTATGTTTTCAATGAGTTTGCTAGTGAGTAGACTCTCCTCAAGATGCATCCAACTGATTCTTGGTTAGTGTTAGATTTAGCGTGATTTAATGATGGGTAATATTGTATTTTAGATGCATGTGGGACTTAATGGGCTAGTTGATAATGGATGAGGCTTAATGTTGTATAAGCTGACATGTGGGACCTTCAATAAAAAATCCTTGCAGTTAATAATGGAGTAACTTATTAAATAAAAATTGTTGTTGGTTTCTTTCAAATTCATATTGATTGATGCTGAAGCTGGGGTTGTCTGCCCTTGTCAATCTCTTCAGGCACTAAATCAACTATGTGATATCATTATGGAGCCACTCAGGGATCGAGTAGTGACAGGTCTCCTTCAAGCATCATTGGTCTGTGCCTTATACCCTGTCTTCATACGTAGTATTTGCATGAATCAACTAAACTTCTTAATTAATAACTTCACCCTTTTCCAGGATGGTTTATACCGAGTTATAGTAGATGGTGGTCCGTCACGTGTTTTCTCCCCGTTCGATGCTAAGCTTTTGGAAGAAGATCTTGAAGTACTGAAGGTAACAGAATTTTCTCTACATCCCTTGAGTCCTTGTCTATCATACAATTTTTCAGGTACCTGATTTCAGTAAGTTTCTTGTGGCAAAGAAAAACCACACATCTTATGCATTGGTATTTAAAATTGGTCATTGTTACATCACTGGAATATAGTATAATGTATAGTAGCATTTATTTTCCTTATTTAGCATAATAAACATCAGGGTGCCAATTTTCACTTTGGTGGGTTTTATATAACCTTCTAAAGAAAACTAGAGTCATATGTTTACGTAATTTTGGGCTTGTTTCACAGGAGTTCTTCATTTCTGGAGGAGATGGGCTTCCTCGTGGAGTAGTTGAAAATCATGTAGCACGCGTTCGGCAGGTGGTCAAGTTGCATGGTTGTGAGGTTAGTTCTTGTAAATTCTCTAGGGGAAAATAAATAAATTGAAATGATAAATGATAATTGCTGAAAGCCATTGTATTGCACTTGGTTAAATTAAAGGTAATTTCAGTTCCAGATAAGTCAACTCTTGCAAATCATGAAAATATATTATTGGTGTTTTCCATTGTATTGCAAAGACTGAAATGTCCACAAGTGATAAGACATCACATGAAACATGTCACCTCCCTTCTTTCTCTGTTAATTTGTTATTGATTGAAATATGAGATTTCACACCCGCTTGATGAGCCAAAACTGGGGGCCAAGAACTCTTCCTGACTGCTTGAGCTGAACCATTTGTATGTATATTTATGATTTACATCTGAGCTGATGTACTGCTAAAATTGCAAGTTGGTTTAGTTAGTTTACCACTTTCACTGTCATGTGTTTTTTGATGATGCTAATTATTCATTATTAATTATGGCTTGCAGACAAGGGAATTAATTGAGAACTTGAAATCTGCTAGCGGATTAGAAATGCAGGGCGGCAAAAGCAAACTGGGTATTGATACCCAAATCCTATTGAGGATATTATGTCACAGGAGCGATTCAGAGGCATCTCAATTTCTCAAGAAACAGTACAAGATACCCAAATCTGCTGCTTAGTGTAATGATCACAAAATCCACACAAGTGAGAGATGGAAAAGAGCACCAGAGAAGGAAGAATTTCTATTGGCAGTATTGTACTCCTTGTTTATAAGATATAATTTATTTGTCTTCTCCCCAGTAGCAATGAACTTTTTGCCCCTTTATCTGTTCATATTTACCTTAACGTGTTAGAAATAATTCCGTTGCTCGTCTTTCTGTCATTGTAATATTATCTTGTTCAACTCACTGATTATTCTATTGTAACTTGTGACAAAAGTTTGTTTGAATTTTTTCGTTTTGTGGATCGAAAAATAAAATAACTAATGATGGGAGGTTTGTTTGACTCATTATTTTACCTTGTAGTTTACTGAAAGGATTATTTACATGGAAACTCCCTAAACTATTGAAAATTATCACTTTGACCCCCTAAACTATAATAGTGTTCAAATGGACCCCTTCTATTATTGAAAAGTATTGATTTGCCTCCTAAACTATAAAAGTGTACACAGGATCCCGTAAACTATTAAGGTGTTTCATTTTGATCCCTTATGTTAGGGAGTCAAATTTGTATGTTTTTATAGTTTGAGAAGTTCATTTGTACACTTTTATAGTTTAGGGAGCAAAATGATACTTTAAAAGTTTAGGGGTTCCATTTGTATGCTTGTAGAGTTTAGGAGGTTAAAGTGATATTTCTTAATAGTTTATGGGGTCTTCATGTAAATAACCCTTACAGTTAGGGAGTCAAATTTGTACTTTTTTATAGTTTAAGTGGTTCATTTATACATTTATATAGTTTAAGGAGTAAAATGATACTTCTCAATAGCTTAGAGAATTAAAATGATACTTAGGTCTTTGTGTAAGTAACCCTTACTGAAATACAAACTATAAGTGCATGATATTGGTAGTAATTATCTTTTGGGTTGGGTTGATTGGCACTCTACTTTATTACTAATTTGGAATGAAGTTAGAAACTTGAATTACTCAAAGCATTTTGTGCACATAGATGATTGATGATTGATAGAAGTGGCAAGTTTTCGTTGGGACAAACTTTCACAAGCATAGAAGTGAGGGAAGCTAATTTAGCTTGCATAATTGTGACGTTTTGGAATTCACTTTCTCTAAGAACTGTAAAAATAGATTAGATCTTGTGCAAAGGCAGTGTGAGAACTTTCTCTCTCTCTCTCTCTCTCTTTCTTGCAAGGCAGCTTTGTCTCTCTATCTTTCATAAATTCATATGACCAGTCTTAAAAATGGGTTTTTCACATTACGCATTTTCCATTTTATCATTTTGATTTTATTTTTATAATATTTTTTTTTCCCCACCAAGTATGCGTGTTGCTCAGTTTTATCTCAAAAGTGAAAGGTGTGAAAACCTTTTTTTTTTTGACAAAATCGGAACTTCATTCAAAGATAATAACAAACATGCATTAGAGAGTTCTCAGATTCAAATTGCATAGCCAACCAAAAACATAGGAAGTATAAACTAAAACAAGGAAACTAAATTCCAACCAACTAAATTCACAATCGTCACCAAGCACTTGAGATGCTATAGCTCCACTCAACCAGATATATAGTTTCCCAATTGACAACCTTCTAGCAATCTTTTTGGTATCCTTCAGTCAAAACTCCAAACACATCCAAGATGAAAAGTAATATGCATGATGGCAACACAGGAACTGCAAAGAGAAGAGAAAAACAAAAGGCATAAGAAATGAATAAGTAAATTGTGACCGATGATGGACATGATGTTGAGGGGTTTGGAAAAGTCAAGGATTAGAACAACTGTCTTCAATGACTCCTTTTTCTATTTTTTCCAAGAACAAACTTGGGGGTGAAATGCATCAATAACCTCATAGCTTTCGTCACACGGCCTCGGTGCCACTATTCACTATCCTTTCAGAGAGGAGTGTACCGTTTAGGAGGAGCCAAATATATCACAAGTCCCAGGTTTCTTGTTAAGAGAAAATTCATGCTTATCCAAAAGAGGGTTAACATCTAGAGACTGAACAATAGGAATGACCAATTCATCCAAACAAGGAGTATTTGACCCGCAACCAAGAATGGAATTAGTAGTGAGTTCCAAAGTGGGGGTTTGCATCTCGAAGGGATCGATATTCATGTTATCTTAAGGGCACTCTGTCTTTTGAAGCTCAACTACCAATAAGCTTGCTTGATGAAAAATTGCAAATTTTTACTTTACTTTAGATTTAGAGTAGCTATGATAAGTGAGAAGAAATTCCTTCCCATAAGCACAACTTTCTTCGTCTTCCTTGAATCCTTTTCCATTAAATGTATTGTTGTTACTCTTGTTTAATGATTTACAAGGGTCATGTTTGGTAAATTTCCAGGTGACTATATGAGGGTAGACGCTGTTGAGTGTTTCAGTTTGTCCATCTTTGATGCCTCTTTCCATTCCATTTTAAAGAATGGCTAGAGTGCATACCTAGCTTGTAGCTCGACCTTCTCTCTATCTATAACCATCTCAACATTAGTAGGAGAAGCTCTAGGGTGATCATTCTCCTTGTTGGATGGACCTAGCACATAATGCCTAAGCATTTGTAGATGCACAAGAGCTTCAAAACCATCCTTGCAATTAATTGTTTGAAAGAATGTTAGAATTCCTCTAAATCAAAACAAGAAGATTCAATGAGAGAGGATTTGATCAACTCAATACTTAAAGGATCAAGGAATTGGTACATATCTTCTAAGGGATTTTTGGGCAAGGCATTGAAAATTTCCTCATTTGTTAGGTCCTTGATTGGAAATCCCAAACGATAAACACATTTCAATTATATCTTCTCCTTGTCCTTGTTTTGTTATGAGTGTTTGAGAGCTTGAAGTATGAATCATATCCTGGCTTATCTCTCTCATGCATGAATGCTCTAGTGGGTGTCCAGTTTGGGTTTTGGAAATTCTTCAAGAATGAGCTCATCACAAGAGCGATAGAAGTTGTGCTCGAGTGAAGATTTCAACCTCACAGGATCTTTGCTTCAGTTTTAGGAAGACCACAAAGATGCATTTACCGCTTAGCGACCAAAGTTACACTCAAGCAATGCTTTCAACTTCATAGGATTTGTGTTGAGTTTTCCAAGATACTATACCGCAAGTCTATGTTCACTGCTCAAGCAATGAAAGTTGCACTTGAGCGGTCATTGTGAACAGTTTTTGTTATAACCTCTTTATTCTTTCATGTATGGGTTTGATTCACCCAATTCTTTTTCTGGAAAGTGTAGAAAACAAAGTGAGAAAATTGTAAGTGAATTGAATGTTTCCCCTTGATAATTCAAAGATGATTTCACACATCTCATGCAATTGATGGAGCTATTCAAGGGGATTTCAATGATACTATCTTCCAAGCGTTCAATCGGTGGATTTTGATCAAGTTGGTATTTGTGGGTTCAACACCAAATTGGGAAAATTTGAGAAAGGCCTGTTGTGTTGAAGATTCACGAGTGTTTCTAGATCAATTGGGCATGGATTCGTTGGGAGATTGATTGGGTGAGATGACTTTATGTAATCTTCTTTTTTTTTTTTCTCATAGTGGATTTATTGATTAGTCTCTTGGCTCGTGATTTTTTGTAATTCTATTGGAGGATTCCAATTGTGGTTATTTTTTCACCTTAAAATCGTTTGCGTTCAATTAGTAATTACTAAGTTTGGATCTAAATCAATTCTCTTCCAATTTGTTAATTGATTTAGATTACTTTTAGTTGTTTGAGAATTGTTGTTGCCATCCTTTTGCTTGTTGTTGGAATTGAAACATGATCATGAATCACAATCTCAAGACTTAGGTTTTTTCATCATTGGTTGAAGTTTCTAAAATCGCATTGCCTTTATCCTTTATGGCAGACTTGTGGTTTGCCTCGAGTGTAGGACCAAGAAATCTTTTTTTCGACATTATTTGGTAAAGAATCAACCATAAGATGAAAGAAAAAATCAAAACACTAGGGGCATGTTTGATTGGGTGGATTAGAGTGTGGGATTAGGATTATTAATCTGTGGGCCCAATTATCCTATATTTGTTTTAACATTTTTATTTAGGATTATTAATCCAATGGATAATTAATCCAACAAATTTGTAGGAACATTTTTATTTAGGATTATTAATCCAATGGATAATTAATCCAACAAATTTGTAGGATTATTAGTAATAGGGTAGGGGTGGGATTATTAATCCAACCTATTACTAATAATCCTACAAATTTGTTGGATTAATTATCCATTGGATTAATAATCCTAAACAAAAATGTTAAAACAAATATAGGATAATTGGGCCCACGGATTAATAATCTCAATCCCATGCTCTAATCCACTCAATCAAACATGCTATTAAAAGACTTGCTCAAGGAGATCAATGACAAGCTCGATTTGACACATGCAAGATGAATTCGGCCAAAAATAAACAAATACCGAAGAACTACATAAGGACACCTAGGATGATGAACTACTTTAGAACATTGAGGGTAAGAGATCTGAATAGAGATAGAGCAGCTCAAACTAATTTAACATTGTCTAACTACCAAAGCACAAAAAGAGAATAAATTGAGGACTTAAAAAGGATTTAATAAAGTTTACCAAAAACAGCTTTTAATTGAAGCCAAAAGGTATGCTATAGTGAGATGTTTCTGGTGAGAATCCCAGCAAGATAATAAGTCATTGAAATCCAAACGGTTGATTATTCGAAGAGAAATCAAACCAGGTTCATATCAAGCTTCATATATGAGCATGCAACAACCAAACTCAGTCAAATACTCTGCGTATACACTATCTAGTGATGATGTTCATGGTGATGTTAAGCTATGGCGAGATGAAGAGGATGCGGAAGAAAGAGTGACGGGAAGGGGAAGGCCTAAGAGACAAATTTGTGTCGGAGACACAAATTTGACAACAACCAGAAGCACCTCCCCCTCCAATGCGGTGAAAACTTGAATAATAAAGTCTACAAAAATAACATTTATACTGAGAGTATACTTTTATTTGATAGACCATATTACTTAGTTTCTACACTCGTGTGGGGGTAACGCTCCCAAAATAATACAATAAATCCAACTCATAAGTGGAAGAATAACAGAAACAAGGTGCATTCATTCATTAGAGTTCGTGTACAAAAGTTAATACATGTGATACACATTCACAAATATTTATCCTGAATCTATAGCATATATTACAATATTGAGAAGATTGAAACTAAACATATAGTCATGTGCCCTATCGGCTTACATCTTTCCAAGTCGTGGCTTGGTTACATGAATATGAGCCTAGCTCAATACAATTTAAGCCCGTGGTTATACAAAAGAATAAAACAAAATAAATAAGCTCTTGCTCCTCAAAAGTCCATCCACGCTAC